ATCATTGTTGACTTGTACTCTATATACATGTATGGCCAAAGTGTAGTTCTTATTTTATTGTCATTTTTCATGATTTAATCTTATTTCTGTTTATAAGTCATTGCACCTGCTTTGGTATTAATGGCTCTCGCAATAATTTTAATTAAAATTCATAATAATCAATGATACAAAGAAACCTTTGTGTATTAAACAAAAATGCTAAAAATAAACAATAATGTCATGTAATTTATTATAGTCTTCAGTTAATGTACAGCTTCAAACAGCAAACAATTAACCTATAGCAATGACAACATATTGAACAATACTATACTTTGAATAATTCTCAATGTAGTCTTCAATAGCAGAGAATTGTACTTATCCTCTTAGTGTCATTAACCTAACAATGGAATGTAATTCATCATACATAGTTACTGTCAGTATCGATTCTTCTTGTATGTAGTGCTGCTCTTAGCATCACTAGCAGTAGTAACCACTAGTGATCCCACGAAGTGTCACGTGGAGGCGGCACTCACTACATTGCTGCCCACACAAGAACAGAGAACAATATAATTATATTGACACATACCTAATGTACTTGAACCTTTAACAGGAACTTGCTATAACCTTAGGAAAGAGACGGTTAATACATGACACATACTCTAAGATATGTCCATTTTAAAATATCTGAACGTGTGATTTTGGAGAGGGAATTTTGGTAAATTTGGTATTTTGATAATAGCCATTCACCAAAATAAAACCCACCATTATGAACCATTATGTACACATGTACATGCTCAATGGGACATGGACACAAATTAAAACACACCAAAATTTAGCAGTTCAACAAATGCCACAACTTCAAATTACCAGAAGCATGCTAGTTTGGATAATTTTAATTGCATTAGATAGCTATTTAAAAACTGATTTATGAAGCACATACAGACATATCAAATGTCCATTATGTACATGTACATGTATTTACCAGTGAAAGTGTGAGGAGCAGTTAGGACATGTAACCACATCTTCACTAAACCTGAACAACAGATCCCTTGAATGACAAACACCACATTCTGTACCATTAGCTGAACATTTCTACATAAAAATATTACAAGATAACACGTTACTAGTCACATATACAATGTACATCATGCATGACTACCAATA